TTCTAAAGAACCTAGTAAATTTTCCTGAAGGCCAAAAGTATTACTAGTTATCTCAAAATCGTCGCATAATTGTTGTGTTAAGCTTATTTCATATTCTGTTGGTTCCAAAAGCTACTGTTGCATAGTAACATAATAGAATGCTCACGCGAATTCATAATTAGAATCTCCACCTAAACGGCAGATTGATAATGATAAATGGATCCATGGAGACATTCATTTTAAAAAACTTTCATATGCTCTATTTATTCCTTATTCCAAATTATCAAAGAGCTCACCAAAGTCTTCGTTATTTAGTATTTCAAGTGCAGTTAATAGTTCCTGCCTGAAAAATGAGACAAAATTTTCCTTGAGGTCATTTAAAAATTTTATCTACTCATTTACTTTGTCAGGCATTTCATAAGCCTGACAGCCAGGTAGAAGTTGAACCAAACGATTATCCACTTGAATACAAGGTATAGGATCCTTTCTGACTATAAATTTCATCAATGGTTCATATAAGTGCTCGTCGAATGATACTAAGCACTGAATTTGAATATTTAGCTTTTCGTTTAAGAGCCAATCTCGAAATAAATGCCTAGTTAGTGATTATAAGGAAACTTATTAATAGATTATTTAAAATAAGCATTTAAGTTTATAAATATCTAATTAAAAATATTATGCATACCAATCTGAAAGATATGCAACTGGTGTGTTTTGATTATTTTTAAGTTCCCTAATAAACCAATTCACAAATTCGATATGTGCTTCATGATGACTTAAATATTGTTTTGTAGCAAGCAATTCATATCTCCAATGATCTCGAATTGGCAATTGGTATTGAGAAAAATGATATCCTAATAATCCATCATATAACTTTTGAATCCAACTTGATTTCATGTTGAGAGGTTTTCCTTTATTACTTGAGTCATTTCTGTTGTGGAGATACCAAGCTAAGTATAGAAGGTTATATGGTTGTGGTGTTCACGAAAATCCAATTGAGGTAGGTGGCTTGCCAAATGCCATCTCTTCAAAATTTGAAAAAACAATATGCATTATATGCATTCCACAACTGATTCTTACTGTATCTACTTTTGCCTTTTTATTAAACTGAATAATTATGCCTTTTCTATTACCTAACATATAGGCCATATTGTCTGTTACCTATGTTAAACATTTTTTTAGATTAAGACCATGGTTCGTAATTGCTTTAAGAGTGCTGTCTGCTACTGATTGGCCAGTGCAGTTATTTAAATCTTCAAGATTTGTTACAATAACTGATGGTATGTTTTTTTCATGATCTCAAAATATAACACATACTATGAAATATTTAGATTTATCATGAGTTGATTCATTGACGAGGATTCCATAGTGTGAACATTTGGTGGGCTTATATATTCCAGCTTCAGTTTCAATTTGCGAAACTTCTTTATGCCAAGTACTTAGGGTCATTACGGATAACCATCTTTGCAGGGGCTCTCCAGTTAAAAATTCATGACCAGTCTTAATGATTCAACTGTTGCGGTTAAAGAAGTTTGTTCAATTTGGGATATTTTGGTTGAAAGTCAAACCATTTGAGATGAGTATTTTTGATTATTTGTTTGAAATAATGTGCTAATTTGATGCTTAAATTCGTTACATGATATTTGCTTTGATTTTCTTATCAAAGATCAAATAGTTGAAATTCAATTTTTAATTTTGTCTTGCAGATGTCAATTTGAACTACCTAAAGACTGGATTTTACGTATTAGATTTTGATTGCTTCATATTAGCTTTCTATTTTCTAATTTTAATTCAGCATTCTTGATCTTTAAGTTTTTGGTTTGGTTTTTTTGATGATCCGTAATAAATTCTAATGCTTTTTTTTAAAGGTAAGGCAAAATGATTTCATTAGCATGTTTTCTTCTTGAATATCACATTGAATCAAATAATTTTAATGCATTGGTTTTTTGTGGTTTTGACATTTTATGAATTGTTTGAAACATCTCCTCTTCTCTTGTTTTTTTGATAATATTAGTAAATGTAATAAGAGATTCATGATCAATTTGTGTAATATCTTTCCATTGAGATCATAAGTATATTAAATGATGCTTTTGTTTTGAAAATTTTGGTATTGTAAATTTTTTTATGTAGGTAATCAAAAAGAAGAATAAAATTATAATTCTATTTATTGATTTTTTAACAAACAGAATTTCATGCAGGCAAACTTTTAATTGCTTAATTATATGTAATAAATTTTTATTAATAAAATTAATGCTTCAATATATAAATCTTAAATACTGATGATTATACAAAAACATATTTTTTAACTAATTTTAACAAATCCAGACAAAAGCCAAACAAAATTTTTTATTAAAACAATAACGAAAGCGCAACAAAAGTCAATACAATTTTAGTTTTTTTTATTCCAGCGAGTACTAAATTTAATAAAATTAGTTTCATGAATTCGTTGTGACCAAACTTGTACATTTTTAGAAACTTTTCATTGTCTAACAATGAAAAACCCGAAAATGTATACTGATCTGTTCACTTGTTAAAGATAATTGTAGCAATTAGAATCTATATTAATCAAACAGTGCATTCGTACCTTACCATTATTGGTGAGGCAAAATACTTCATTGAAATTGGTCTCATTTTCTACACAATCAGAGACTCTGTTTTTACTATGGATGTTCTGTAAAATATGCTGATTTCAAAAAAAAAGAATAAGTTACTAATATTTAAGAGAATGAAAGAATTAACCAAGATCCATTATAAAAATACTTATCTGACTTCTTTAGTTATTCTTTTTAAGAATTCTAGACTAACTTCTTTGATTTCGAGGTAGGAATGTTATTATCAAAGGCTCTTAATAAAAATTCTACACTGACTTCTTGGAGCTCAGTAATAATCAATTTGGTTCTGAAGCAGGAAAGGCATTAGCATAAGCCCTTTGTAAAAACATACTAACTTCTTTGTATCTTAGTAATAATCAACCTGGTTTTGAAAGAGAAAAAGCACTAGCGGAATCTTTGTAAGAATACTAAACTGGCTTTATTAAATAATAAGCTTGCTATAACTTTGCGGATGCCTAATCGATTAAAAGCAACTCTATTTTAGAAGCATGTGTTCATATATAACTTTGACAAAGATTCTGAAGTTTACTAATGCAAATATAAGCAATCTCCCTTTTTTTGGCATACAAAAATCTTATTTTATTTGGGAAATATAGATGATTAAACAATTCATAGAATAAATCTTTTTCACTTTGCTAAAATTATCATATTTATTTTAAAATGATTTTTTAGTATTCGTTCTTCAGTTATGACTCTATTCCAAAAAATTAGTTATTCGCATCCACCTATTATATAACTGAACAATAGTCAAATTTGATTGATCATGTATATGTTGATAGAGAGTGATAAAAATAATACTGAGTATCATTTATTTCGCTAAAGAAAATAGCCAGAATTATTAAATTTTAAAATATATTAATGGTGACTACTTTGTATAACTACGTGAAAATCATTAAATAAATTATAGATTTAGTAAATTAAATAAATCTTTAATTTAAATTGTTTTTAAAAAAAATGCGTTATTTTTCTTAAATATAAAGTCTTTTGAGTATTTGGATGAAATTTCTAGTTAAGTTAATTTGTAAAATTTGGAAGAGATATGATTTGAAATTTAAGTTTAATATGAAATTTTGAATTGTATCTCTTCAAAATTTTACATATTAACTTAACTAGAAATTTCATATGAATACTTAAAAGACTTCAAATTTGAAAAAAATAACATGATTTGCAAAAATCAAAAAAATTTTTTTAATAAAACTAATGAAATTTGGATATTTTAATATAAAATCATGCTTAGGTTATACCAAAAAATCACATTAATTAATTTTTATATGAGACTATATATATGTTTGATCTATATGGTACATTGGACACCTTAACGAGATGCAATCAGTGCCAGATTACTAGAACATGCTATGTAACCCAAGCCACTGAAAAGCTTATATAAAGATCAAGAGAAAAAGAGCCTATTTACACACACTTCCCTCATCGAACATCCAATACATATAGTTAGCATTTCTCGAATAAATAAAAAACAGCAAATAAATAAATAACAAATAAAAAATAAATAAATAAATAAATAACAAGAGAGTCTTCCGGTATGAGCTAAACAAATTCTGAGTCACATGACACATATAATAGGAATCACACATCTCTCCAACTAAGCACAGTTATACTACCCTCCAACAGCACAGTCACAGGTTCTAGGCATCAAAGATCAGTTATGCATATTGATCCCCAGTTAAAGGCATACATCGATAAATCAATCTGGGAATTGACCACATCAATCATTGGCTTTCTTAGACAGTACATCGACTCTCAATTCAACAAACAAAGGTGATAGAATGAGCAGTTTCAGTTAAACATGAATAATACACTCATCAGGTTGACACAACCAGACAATGGTGGCAACAGCCAGTCAAATAGACCAGACAAAACTAACAGTTCAGTATCATCACAACAACAGAGCTCAACGGAAACAGCTGATCTCCATTTAATAGATACAGTGAAGCATGTTACACAAGATACAGGTAACTATCCTTCAACTACAGTACTAAACAATCTCATTATGGTGACTTCAAGAGTGAGTCTTCAACCTCAGAGCCTGGTAACAACATTAGAATCAAATAAATCAAACTAGCCTTTGATGTTAGTTGCAGCAGTGTCAGTGTTCAAGTCATCTGTAAAGAAATATTCATCTCTTGACTACACAAAGCTTAAAGGCATTTGCGATGTTCAAGGTTTTTCAAACCCCTATGCTGTAAGAACAAAAAGTATACGAATTTGGTGGGTCATTAATTAGTCAGAGGGCAAACAGATCATTGAAACATTGTCATACAAGCCCAACATCTCAGCCAAGCTTTGAAAAGCAATTGCATTTGGTTCTTATATAAATTTACAAGAGTTCTTATATAAAAACCTCTTAGCTAACATAAAGGAAAATGATGATGAACCAGTCTTACAATTAACAGAGGGAGGCCATATTTCAATAAAATGTCAAGCATGTCATACAATATTTTCTGATATCTCAGAATGGTTACTTGCTTTCAAATTATATATGGATGCTGTGTTAATAATTTATGAGAACAGAGAACAAAAACTCAACAACTACAGGGATCATATTAATGAGCTTTGTCTAAAACAGAATTTTTATACAGTTATGTCATACAATAAAGATTATAGAATAACTCTAGTTACAAATCAGGATACAACTCTTAGTGATTATAACACAGAAGTAGAAGGCAGAAACTTTGATATAACCACAATTAAGAGGCAAAGATATAACACATACTGATCAACATGTTTTGACACTGAATGGTTTGATGGTAGAGAGATATGCATTAACTGGAACAAGTGACACTGCACAGATAACAAAATATGTGAAAGGGTTCATGCCTGTCTAATTTGCAAGAAACAAATCACAGTGAGCAGCAATGTTTTAGATAAAACAGTCTAAAAAAGATCAGTTTAGCTGAAGATAAAAAGCAGAGAAAAATGTGTAACAGTAGTACTGCTCACAACAATGGGAATAATAATAATAATAATAATAATAATAATAATAATAATAATAATAATAATAATAATAATAATAATAATAATAGTAATAATAATAGTAATAATAATAGCAATAATTTTTTTATTTGTCCCTCTTTGGCAGCCTTGCCATTAACTTTTATTTTATTTTTTTTTTAATATAGACAGTCACACTAGTACTTTATTAAGATTCTTGCAATTGCTACAATTACATAGAACTACTTAACAACTAAGTCTAGCATCATCCAGCCACCCTAATGGTGCCTAAGTGTAACCTGTTGCATTACTTCAAGTAGAAGTAAATTGCTTGTCTGACTACTTAAAGTCTATAATGAAAGGGTCTTTCTTCTTTCACAACAAGTTTCAAAATGTCTTCCTAGCTTCATCTTCGATTTGTTTTTTCCTCTTCTTTAATTATTGAGCAAGAGGATTTTATAATCCTTGCCTAAAGAACAACAAGATGTAAGAAAGAAAAACTAAAAGGAAGTAAAAAAAAAAAGTGGGACTAACTACAAAACCTAAACATAAACCAAAAGAAAAAAAAGAAAAAGATAAAAAAAGAAGAATAAAAAAAAAACAAAAAACATAAAGGCATTATTTTTGCCTATGCTAGGCTTTAAAAATTCTATATAATACTAAATAAAGAATAATCCATATTTGCTTTATCTCTGTATTATAATATATTCTATTTATCATATAGAGAGAATGGTTGAAGTTTTTATTTTTCTCTTTAGTTTGACATATTTCATCCATCATAAGTCCGATACTTGTCTCATGGTTTTCTTGTGATTAATGTTTCCAATTTGGAAAGACAAACAATGTCGATTTTTTGGAGGGGGTATGCCAGATTTTCTACTTTTTGGTAAAAATTATGAAAGAAAAATCCAATAGTAAGGATGAAAAGAAGAGCCAACTTGAAAAGGAGTTGTAATAGTTACGTTATATGGAATATTATATTAAACCAAGTAACTATTTAGGCCTAAGCCTTTATAGCACTTGACAAAGCTTCAGAGCTTGTCTACTACTTCTTTGCTTGGTAGTACTTAAGTTTTACCAAGAGACTTCACTTACAAGGGTTTGAATCTTTTTTAGCTCTTTTCAGTTACAACCAAACATGCAGTAAATAAACTTCCTAATTATCTCAAAGTAGAGTTTTGTTATATTTAAATATAATAACTATATAGTTTTCATAGGTCAGACTTTTTAGAAAAAATTGGTATAAGGGATTGTCGAAAAGAGTTGGTTAACTTTTATTAAGATTTGTATTTACAAATTTGTACATACTTTGATCTAATTTACTGGTTTGACATCTTCTGGTTGCTTCAATAAGTACCCAAAGGCAGTCTGCCACACCAGTTGGAGTAATAACCCAGATCTGGGAGCTGTATCAGACTAGCCTAAAAGACTATATGAAAATGGTCTTATTTTACTCTCTATATAACTTTTAATTGAACCAAACTATATTTCTTTTATCTTAGTGTTTTCCATCTCTTTTAACTTCTTAATCTCTCTAGCAGCTTGGTTTCTTTCTACTCTAATTGAATTCTCTATTTGACTATACATCTCTTTACCAATTAATTTCATCTTTCTTTCTGATTTTCTTTACTTTAATGATTGGTTAATGTTCATTAGCTTTTTCCATTCAATAGTAGCTTACACCTTCTTTTTTATATGTTTTTGTAGAACTCATTTTATGTTATATTGGTTACTATGTCTAAAAAATCTTTTGTTTCCTTAAACGGCTTTAGTAAAGTTTGTATTTGTTCAATTGTCTTTTCTTGAACTAGACATTTGATTATTTCTATTCTTGTTTCTTCTTTTTCTTGCTTGTTTACTCATCAAAAAATTTCTTTAAGTTGCCTTTTGCTTGTAATAATTTATGTTTCACTTGAGATTTTAGTCCATGCAAAATTAATCAATAGGTTTTCTATTTTTTTTCAGTTATTCTCATAGCACTTGCATGATGCCAAATGTTCTAGGTTTTCTTCCTTTTTTTTATTACAAAGTATACAAAAAGAACTTTTATAGAGATCTGGTCTATGTTATATTAAAGGTTTTAGTAATAGTAATCTATTATTAAGACATTTAATTAAGGTTCCTAATTGTGTATTCTTTTTTTGGCTTGTACATTTGCTTCCGCTTTGGTCTTTAATCTTTTTCCATAAATATGTTCAATTATATACTTTCTTCTTATTATCTGGCTCTATCTTTTTAATTACTGATGAAAACCTCATTCAGCTCCTGTTTGAAGGTCTAAGATTTTCTTAATAAACTTTCTTGTTGGATCTTCTATAATTTCTTCTTTCCAATAAATTGAGATGCTAGTTATTTAAGGGGTTTTCTCTACTATTCTATCTAAACTATCTATTTTGGCCTTTTCTTTTGCCTACATATCTGCTCTATTGTTCTATTCATTATCGCTATGGCCTTTAACTTTAACTAAATTTATTTCTAAATTTTTAACTTAATAATATTTTTAATATTCTCTAATAAATTGTAATTATTTCTTTTAAGTCATCATCTAATAGATTGGTTTTCTTTTTTATTTTTCAGGCCTGCAATTGCTGCTATACTATTTGTACAAATCTTTAATTTTCTCTGTTTTGGTACTGCAAGTATGACAAACCAAATAGCTAACAGCTCTGGTTTTGTTAATGATGGCCAATTTTGTGTACCAAAACAGCTCTTACTTAGTATTTTCTCTTTTTTTTATCTAGTTGCACCCATTTGGTTTATTGTTAAAGCTTCTTTTTTTAATGCTTTTTTTAATGAACCATCTGTATAAAAGATCAATGTTTCATCAGGTCTTTCTTTGTTTTTTTGGTTGAGTTTTATAAGTTCTTCTTTTATTAGCTGACTAATATATTGTTTTTTAATGATTTTGATATCTAAATTATAACATACAACTTTAGTAGCTTCACTTTCATTTTGTTATACTCTTTTTTCTCTTGTTTTTTGTGAGAAGTTTATTATTTCTTGGTCTAACTCTAGGGTTTGTTGTTTATATTTTTTAATATAGTTTGAAATTCTCTTTGCACTTTAACTTTATCAATCCATCTTTTACAATTTGCACTTATTTGACTTTGATTTAACTCACAATCTTTATATTTTGATAAAGTTACTTTTGCTATTTTTATTCACATTTCTTTATGCCAATGCTCTGTTAATAATCTTTTAAGACCTTTTGTTACAATCTTTCCAATTACTGGTTTTGTATTCTTCTCTTCTATTAATTTTATTAAGACCTACTTTTTTTTCTTTTGTCACAAGAAAGTGGTTTAGGCAGCACTTTGAAAGCAAGGCTGTTTGGTTCATTTGTTCTCCAAACTGCTTTTAATAATCTTTTTTCTTTGTCTTCTAATAATTTTTCTTCTATTTTTGTAAACCACTTGGCTTTTCTGCCTTTGCTTAATTCTCCTTATAGTAGTTTAAGTTGTTGTCATGAAATTATTTTGTTGCCTGATTTTGAAAATAACTAATTTATATAAACTAAGTTGAATTTATTAAGGAATTTAGCTATGTTTTTAGTAAAGTCATTGCCTAGTAAATGAACCTCACTCGAAGTTTAGATCCTGATTATGTGCTTAGTCTGTATATTTATTAATACTACCCAAGTTTGGAGTTACATTATGTACATTTACGTCATAATTACATTATTGATTAGATTAATAATCTCTATATATATAAGGTATTAATCTACTATTTGTTCTCTAGACTGTTTTTTCTTGGTGCTGTCCGCACTTTGAACAACACTCTCTTTATATTAAACAACCAACCCTATCATCAGTCTTCAGGACAAAGTAATAATCAGTATAATGAATATAAGTTGGTTTCCACACAAGATGCTGCAAATACACTTTAAGATGAAGATGTTAATAGTAACACTATCGAAGATAATGAACAAGAGGAAGGACTTACTTGGCAACCATCAAATAAAATGCATAATCTATCTACAAAAATTTTTAAAAATAACTTGCTCCCTTCTGATGAAAGAAAATCTATATTACAAACACATACATGCAACAAACATATCAATTTTAAACCCCCGGCAATGGATAGAGGGCTATGGAAATATATGCCTAGGAATTCTAGAGAAAATGACAAACAATTTGCAAAGATATCTTATCGCACTTCAGCAGCATTATGTCCACTTGATAATTCACTATGACTTCTAAACAACTCTAAACCAGAAGATACTGATAATGAAGCACTTGATTTATGGAAGGCTCTGGAACAATCTTTACTTGATACTCGAGCACTTATACTGAATAGTTTATCCTTTACAAATGAAATTAGATGTAATGAGGCTATTAAATACATTTCACCTACCTATCAACCTGCATATGAACAAGAGAAAGTTTTTGGACCTACAGAACTTAGAGACACACTGGAAAAGGAGAATGCAAAAAATAAAATGGTTCACAATACCTTGTATTATCAAAAACGGTATGACTATAACAACAAGCATTTTAGTTCCAATGGAAAAGGAAGTTTTTCTCTCATACATTATGAAGATTTCAAAATACACTTAGATCTTTTTTTGGGAACAGTATCAGGAACCACTCTCCCAATACAAGGAACAATTTCTTCAACACAAAACAGAACACAAACCAGACTCAAAATTAACTTTTCTATTACAAACATTAGGTTTACAATCACATATATCAAATTGGATACAACTATTTGGAGAATCTTTAATTACAGAAATTATAAAGCAAGGTTATTCTCCTACTTGGTCTTCAATTCTACCAAGAATTATCCAACCTATTTCACATCATCAATATGATCAATCAATTATGTCAGAAATAAAAGACCTTATAAAAAAAAATATTATAAAACCAATCTCTATCATGCTTCTATGTTTTACTTCACAGATATTCTCAGTTCTCAAGAAAAATGGCAAAAATCATTTAGTATTAGACCTTAGGCACTTCAATCAGTATCTAATATACTACCATTTCAAAATGGAGGATATAGAAACAGTAAAACCTCTAATATTCCCAGACTATTTCATGGCATCCCTAAATATAAAAGATGCTTTCTTACATGTTCTTATCAAAGAACAAGACCAGACCTTTTTTGCATTCGATTTCTTTGAAAAACATTATACATTTACTACCTTACCATTTGGTTTATCTACCAGTCCATTAATCTTTACAAATATTTTATGTTCTGTTATAAAACATCTACGTACATCTGGCATTAGGATTGTTGCATATCTAGATGACTTGCTTATAGTAGGAAATACAAAACTCAAAACTATAAAACATTTAGATACAATCATCAATCTACTGACCTTATTAGGATTTGCTATTAACTGGAAAAAATCAAAGCTAATACCTTCAAAGTCTATCAAATTTTTTGGTTTTACTATATGCTCATCAAAAATGACAATTTCTTTGCCTCATCACAATGTAAAAGAGGTTATAAGAAAATGCAAACTTACACTTGTCAAACCTACTATCCATATCCGCAAACTGGCTTCCTTGATAGGAAAATTAATCACAACAACAAATGCAATTTTTCCTGCTTGACTTATGACCAGAGATTTATTATGAGACAAGAATACCACTCTGAGAAGGTTAGGATGAGACTTCATACTTTCATTATTCTACCAAAGTATAACACAACTTACCTGGTGGGTAAACAACCTTCAGAAATGAAACGGAATGTCACTAATTCAAGATTAGCCAAGTGCCACAATTTTTACGGATGCTTCTCACACTGGCTGGGGGCAGCCTACGAAAACTCAATAATCTCAGGAAGATGGTCACTAAATAAACAATGTCTATACATAAATATACTCGAAGCACTAGCAGTATTGAATGCCTTAAAATACTTCTCAAATCAAGAAATAAAAAATGTAAATATTATGTCAGACAACATCACCACAGTCACTTATCTCAACAACCAGGGCAGCATGACATCCCCACTAGTAAGCAGAATAGTCGAGTCAATTTGGACCCTCACCTTAGAGAAATCGATAAGGATCACAGTGATCCACATTTCCAAAAAAGAAAATACAATAGCAGACAGAGCATCATGATCAGTCGACAGATACAATTGGGAGATTAACCCAAAATTTTTTCAGAAAATGAATCACCAATTGGGACCAATGAACATAGACTTATTCGCAAACATAACAAATACAAAGCTTTCAAAATTTTGTACATGGAAGGGCACAAACAACCATCAAACAATAGATGCCTTTCAAATACCATAGAACAGATTTATAGGATACATAAATCCTCCTTGGATATTATTGAACAGGGTCATATCCAAGATAATCCAAGATAGAGCCCAAGCAGTAATAGTTTTCCCACTATGGACATCAGCACCTTGGTTCCCGCTACTCAAAAAGATAATAGCATCAGAACCTCTACTGGTTCTCACATGGGCAATTTTGCCAGAACAAGCTTCTCAGATACATCCAATATGCATTTCAGCCTGGAGGATCTACACAGCATATGTCTCCGAAACTCTCTTTAAAGTCAAGAGTACTCACTTACAATATTTAACTTAGCATCAAGTTCTCTTGACCCATCAGCATCCTCTATAGTTTCATCCCATATCTGCACTTGGATAGATTGGTGTAATATCCAGACTATTGACTCTACCAATTGCAGTATTAACAAGATTGTAGAATTTTTAAACTATCAGAAAGAATTAGGCAAGGCTTATAATACTATTGCAGGATACTATTCTGCAATCAGCAAGGTATACCATAAAGTTGAAGGTACAAAAATAGAAACACATCCAGTAATAGTTAGGGTTATGAGAGGAATTTGGAAAATAAATCCTCTGCCTGAACCTTTACAAGACACATCAGGTATTTCCCCTTCATTTGATACTATTATTTTCTAGGGAAATAATGAAGATTTATTATTATTACAACTAAACAAAAAAACTGCTTTTCTTCCTACTATTAGTACTGGATCTCGCCCTTCTAACTTACTTCGACTAAATTTATTAACACTATCTAACACTTTTGGTGGCAGTAATATCAAATGTGAGTTGCCAAAAGAGACAAAAATTTCTGTTGCCAAGGGTGGACGCAAATGATCAAAAATTGTTTTCATTGGGAAATATGAGAAAACTTCTTCAATATAACCTTTATTATCTTTAAATGCATTATTAGAGAAAACTAACATGTATAGAATGACTGAAGACTCAAAGAAATGTTTATTTCTAGCATCTAATGGCAATCATAAACTAGTGTCCTCAGATACAGTTGCTAAGTGGATAAAGGAAATCTTGAATTACTCTGACCCCAACTTGACAGCAAAGGATACAAGAGTACTAGCAGCTTTTTTTGCACAAAATGGAGGTGCTGAATTACTAGCTATTTTGGCCTTAGGAAATTGGTCTAGTTATGAAGTATACCAAAAATTTTATCAACATGGCATATGGATCATGCTTGAATGTAACAACCTACCTACTACCATTATCAATTAAGTAACTAAACAGAAATCTATATACTCTACACAAGCATATGATCAGAATCTAAACTCTGAGTGAGGTTCATTTTACAAAATGATCAAGTATCATAAAGATCATTTTAAAATGGATGAACGAAGAAGGTTAGATAATGATCATGTGACCCTCCTTCCACTTCTTCTTTTTATTCACCTTTCATAATATAATTGCTTATACTCAAAACAGTCTAGAAAACAAATAGTAGATTAATACCTTATATATATAGAGATTATTAATCTAATTAATAATGTAATTATGACATAAATGTACATAATGTAACTCCAAACTTGGGCAGCATAAATAAATATACAGACTAAGCACATGATCATTATCTGACCTCCTTCATTCGTCCATTTTAAAATGATCTTCGTGATACTTAATCATTTTGTAAAATCTGCTAGTTTTGTATTTTTTTCCTCTATATTAAGGTCTGAAGTTGTAAATCTTAATGTTACTTGTATCTCTTTAGCTTTAAGCATAACATGACATGCTAGATTGTCTTTCCATAAGCTTTTGCATGCCTTAGGTAGATTATAGAACCAATTGTTTTCTGATGCATCTATTAATAAGAGTCTATAGTTAATTTGTATTTTGGTGAGAGCTTCTTCTGGACCTAGAGTGTTAACTTGTATATGCAAACTTGTAATTTGCTTTATTAATAGTTAGTGCCAAAATGAGTTGCAATTTCCAAGATTTCTGTGAAGCATAATACTATTGCTTACTGTACTTGCAATTCTGAATTTATGTTTTGTTACTCTTAAAATTGACTTTTGTATTGCTTCTATTACCATTTTGGATAATTTTGTTACCTGTAGCAAATAGGTAAGCTTAGATACTATACACATGTTATTAACATAGACTACTTGTGCTATTATTATTTTTTTTGTTTCAAGACTTCTTATTATTGTACATACAACTTCTTGAGCTCTTGTTTTGACTAAAGACTCTTTTAGCTTATTGTTAAGCCATATTCCCAAGAATCTTGTTATTTTGTTTATATTTTCTTCTTGTATTCATTTATCACCTAAATGTTCTTTCTATTTTTTATGCTTTTTTTTGTATTCATGATCACTAGTTTTGATTTTTTTTCCATTTATCTGAATGTCATTGATTTTAAAAAACTTTTGCTATTCAAATTGTCTGCTCCATCTGTTCTTTGTTTTTTGCAATCCATGTTGTGTCATTAGCAAAAGCTACTACTGCTTGCTTCTACTTCATTTTCTTGTAGTAGTTAAGATTATAATTGTATAGAATGTCTACTTCAGCTGTATATCCAAGGTTTGAGTCCTCTTGAATTCTTTCAAGTAATGGGTCATAAAATATTCTCTATACTAATAGTAATAACACTTTACCTTGTTCAATATCATCTTCTACTTTCTATGTTTCTGTAGTTCTCCAATGTGTAATAATTTTAGATTGTCTGTTTTCAAATATGTTTAATATAAAATTTATAATTTTTTCAAGCATTTTAAGTCTTTTCATTGCCAGATCTAGTGCTTGTAGAGATACTGAGTCGAATGCCTTTTTCATGTTCTGAAAAACCAGCCATAGTTCTTTGTTATTGTCTTTAGCATCTTTTATTAATGCATTAATAATATGTACAGGTTCTTTTGTTGAGTTTTCTGAAAGACCCACAAAATTAGAACCTTTAAGTATTTTTCTCTCAGTAAAAACTTGTATTAATCTGTTTGTCAAGATCTTTGTTATGCATTTTCTTAAAATTTCTAGCAGAGTGATAGGCCTAACATTGTTCAAGTTATATTGCCATTCTGTTTTCTTTTATATAGAATATATTTGTGATATTTTCTATTTTTTTGGTACATCACCTGCCTTAATGCATATTTCTGCAAAGATTCTGAAAATCTCTTGTGTATACAATCCTGCTGCTTGTATAAGCTAATAAGTAATTCCTGTAACTCCTGGTGCTGTATTTTTTTTAAGACCTGTTAGCATTTTTGATCATTCATCTGCTATGATGTCTTGACTTATATCTTTGTACCAATCTGACTGTATTGATGTTTTAGGTTTGTAAATTTCTTTCCATTCTCTATTTAAACTTTCTTTTCTAAAATTTCAGAGTCTTAATTGGTTTTGAAAATGTTTTTTAATCTTGTCAAGAACTGCTAATAGTTCTACAATTAATTCTCTATAACTATTTGTGTTTTCTATAAGTCTGTCTATTTTGATTTTACTATTTGGTCTGTCAAGCAAACTTGTAAGCATTTTTTCCTGTTTGCCATTAATTATTTAACATCTTTTTTCTATATTTTCTTCAATTTCTCTTCTTTTTAATGTTTTAATCTCACTTGATCTTCTTGCATAGAATATTTTCCACCAATCTTTAAAATCTTCTATTAGTTCTTTTGTCTAACCTTTGAATGCTAATTCAATATATGTTTTTTGATGTTGGTTGATGTATTCTATTTTTCATTGAGTTCTTATATATTGTCCTTTAGAAAACTGAGTTTAATGTTTATTTTACCAATTCTGATCCATCTTCCTAATTGTGTTAGTACTTTGGTAAGTTTTGCTTTTTTCATCTGCTTTTTCTTATTTTCTATTGTATTGAGTATTTTCTTTTTAGGAAGTGATTTTCTTGCAGCTGATTGTATACTATTACAGATAATATTCCACCAATTATCTAATTGATTTTCTATGTTTGTTGGCATGCTTGCATTATTTAAACTATATAATATATTTTTTAGATTTTGTATATTAATTTTTTTTCTTAGTCATTGGTCAAGCTCTGCCTTGTACTTTTTCCAATCTTCTTTTGTTGCTTTGTCATATAGGTAGATTGTTTTTTGTTGACTAAATCTTTTAAGTTTTACTGGACCCCATGTAGCTATTAAGTATTTTAAATTTATTTTTGCTAGTACTACATTGTGATCGCTGTTTGTGCATATATTTATTTTCTGTATTTCTGCATCATAGAGTCCATATGATAAATCTTCTATTATTCATATTTGGTCAATTCTTGAACTTAAGTCCCTGCTTGACCAGGAGAATTTTTTGGTTTCTGGATTTATTGTTCTATATATGTCACAAAGCTCTTGTCTTGTTAACCACTTGAGAAGAGGATCTTGTTTTTCTGACTTTTGTTTTGGGTTATCTAATCTATCAAGTTCATTATTAACTACACTATTGAAGTTCCCCATTATTATTACCTGTATTCTTTGTAATCATTTGATGTATTTTTTGATTACTGCTCTTTGAATTTTCTTATGTTCTCTTTGTTATTCAGTGGCATATATATCATTATGATTAATATTTCTAGTTGTTTAAATACAAAGTTGGCCATAATTATGTTTTTATTTGTTTTATTTATTTCTTCAAAATGTTTTTCCCAGTGTTCATTAATAAGTATACCAACACCTGAGTTTTTTTTCTTTTTTGGATTTGAATTTGCCCAGAAACCCTTATATTCTTTTATATTTTTCGTAATAAAAAAACCTTCTTTGCTTGAAATATTTGTTTCTAATAACTCAATTATATCCATTTTATTGTCAATTAGCCATTCATACAGCATTTCCATTTTTTGATTATTTCTCTTAAGGCTATTGATATTATGTGCTGCTATATTTAAGTTGGTTCCTTCTATGTTTTCATTTCATTTTTTAGTCTTTTGTTTAATTTCTTCTAGATGTAGTATATTTTTTTGATTTGTAGTTTGTTTTCCCTTTTTCTGTATTAAAAAGACGTTTGTTTCTATACCTTTGTTCTTTGGTTCAACTGTAGCAAAAGTTAGGAACATTGTGGCTATCCTCTTTTGGTAAAAATTTTGGGTTGCACTTTTTGTATTTCGAGTCTTTCAAGCCTAGTTAATATGCATTGTAAAAGGTCTTGCATTTGTGTTTGATTT